GCAGAGCCAGCACATGGAGAAAACATGCCTACCAAGCATGAGTCCTGAAGAGGCAGCTTCTGAAAATAGACGACAAAGTTTTTTACACTGCTGTATCCCACAGTGATTCACAGAGATTAAGTACTGAATGAATATCAGCTGAGTGAAATAAAAAAATCTCACCAGCAGGTATGGTGGTATACACTGTAATTCCAGCTACTCAAAAGAATCACAAGTTCAAGGCCAGCCTCTGCAATTTATCAAGACCTTGTCTCAAGATCAAATAAAAAGGGGCTGGGGCTGTAACTCAGTGGTAGAATGCTTGCCTAGCATGTATGTGGTCCTAGATTCAATCTCCAGTACTGGGGAAAAAATACATATTACCAGGCTTATAGGACTGTAAACAAATAAGAAGTTGTGCTTTCTTTGCTGGTCTTGCAAATACTCTTTAAAAAGTGTTCCTGCACTGATGCCACAACCTTTTAGTTAAAGGAGGACGATGTAACCCATATTGTGACCATTTAGAGGGACTTATTCACAGGAGATAGCATGCATAAGATTAACAATACAGAGAGAGTAACTTACTCTAAAAGAATTCAAAATAAAATCTTAATTCCTTGGGTGACAATAATTCCTTAGTCATTAGGGCACTGTGTTATCTTGAAAGAAGAAAAACTGTTTTAAAGACATTGCAAAGTTTCTCTCTTCCTTTCTCATGGTAAAGCTAAAAACAGACAATGGGCTAAAGCAATGGTATTCAGTTTCCACCAGTTCCAAGGTGAACTGGGTAGGTCACTACAAAGAAGCCTCAAGAATACACAGTGATTGGGCTGGGATTGTGGCTCAGTGGTAGAGCAATCCCCTAGTAAGGGCGGGACCCAGGTTCCATTCTCAGCACCACATAAAAATAAAGGCATTGTGTTGTGTCCATCTACAAAAAAGATTCTCTCTCTTAAAAAAAAAAAAAAAAGAATACACAGTGATCTACTAATGGTCACGAAGCTATTCAAACAGCCTAATAATTAGTAGAGCTAAGAAGAGACTTTCCACTGTTGATCACTTTATATCAGTTCCCTTTACCATGGGCATCCACAAAAATATTTTGTTTTGTACCACTGAATATCCATAGTTTAAATTTACCCTACTTTTGTATCATGTCCCTTCATGCCCCATCACTACCATCAAGACCACAGTTCTAGGAGAAGAAGAACCATCTCTCACCTCCTGTCTTTAAGCTACATAATGGCTCAAATGCCCAGTCCCCTACAGAGCTTTCTGTAAATAGCCTGTCCTCAGCAGGAGGGAATCTCTGTCCTTGCTTCCTCTGAGGGTTGAGTATTAGTCTGCCCTACTCTTTTACTTCAAGATTTTAGCACATCTTCATTTTAAATGTTTCACGCCCCAGGAGAATTAAAAGAAGTTTTTCTTCACAAAACATCTGAGGTCCATGTATTTAATATCCAAACTTTAAAAAAAAAAAAAAAAAGCTAGCCAATGGTAGACACTTATGAATCAGCTAAATTATGATTTGGCCATTTTTCTTTTACAGCAATTATCTTTGGCTTTCAGACAAAAATGAATGATTAGGGTTTTGAATCTCTTCTGGCAAAGAAATACACAGCATGAGCTGAATGCTTAACTTTGTTCATGTCAGTAGAACAAGTTCTATAGATATGAATTTGCAGAGTTAATCCTCCTTCATTATCTCCATTAGTTAACAATGCACATGGAGTCACTGCACATAATTACTGCTCTACCAGACACGGACATTGAAATATTAACTTTCCCACAGACTCAAAATCTTCAGTAAGCAGCTCTTAACAATTCATCATATTAATAATATATGTCACCACAGTCCTATTAAATATTCATGAGATTAAATATCTGTTTTGGAAACATTTTTTGTAATATTTGTTATATTTTAGATGCTATAATTATAACTGAAGGATAAGGAAAACAACCCCCAGGGAAAAGGGGAAACAACAACTCCCAAGAAGAAAGGAGGACAATGGGTCCCGAGGAATTCAGGAAACAATGGGCTCTGAACTTTCACAATTTCTCCTTCTACAACTATTTCCCTGACTGCTCACCTGACATATTCTGCTATAATTAAATCTATATGGTTAAGTCTCACTACCCATGCTGATATGGTGATTAAGTCTCACTTAAACCCTACAAAAATCAGACCCTTCTTGTAACCAGTTGCCATGTTCTCCCCTGAAAATGTGCCATTTTGTTGCTTAATAAAGAAAGCTTGCTGATCCATTGAGGTCTGTTCCCTGTTTCATTTATTTTTGCTTTCAATAACGGCACTTAGGTACCATGATAATAAAGGTAAGTTTAACTGTCTGTTTATAACCAGCAATAAAACTAAATCCACATTTATTCAATTTTTAATATGTTTCAAATGAGAATATTTCATTATACAATGTATAAGATATTTTTTAAAGTAATATGTTTATATCCTACAATTCACTCTTCAGAGCTCATTACTACCATTAATTCATGCTTATCTTTCTCATACTTACATAGCTATTTTTACTATACACGTATGTACCTATAAATAATCCATATATAATAAAATTATATGCAGTAGGATTACTAGTCTAAAATTGCATTAAAGAGGAGTAAATTGATTTTCTCAGGTATTTTGTAGGCAAATAACTAATTCCAAATTGAAACTCAACAAGAAATAAGCATGTAATACACTGATGTTTATATAAAAAAGTACACACTGTAAAAAGTCTTATTTGGCATATTAGAATGTTACATTTCTAATCAAATACTTTGTAAGCTTTTATAAAGTCTTTTTATTCAAATTATCACAAAAAAACTAGATATGATCTAAAAACAGCAAATAAAAAACTTAGCAGAAAAAGAAAATAAAATTTCAAATAAAGGTAAAAACATATCATTAACCTCAGATCATGTTATGTTACACTTTATGGCTGGAATCATAACAGGTTATTAAGCATATGATCGAAACAATAGCTACAGCCACAGCTACTTGTAGCAACTTAACTTACTGTGTGTGAGGCACTATTATTAGCACTTAACATTTATATCTCCTTTAATTTTTTTCTCATTTAATTTTCACAATAACCAAGTGAAATGGATGATAACATTATTTGCATTCTACAGATGAAAAAGAGGAGGTCTACACCAATTAAATAACTTGCCCAGGGTCACAAGCGTGGCAACAAAAGAGTCTGACTCCAGTTCTTCCCTTCCAACCATAACATCAGCACCAGCTCCCAACTCTGAACCCCATTTGCTCCTGGGGCCTTGGGCATGTCCTACAAAGTTTCTAAAGCTCATTTCCTTTAGCTACAAAGATGTAAATAATGTTAATATATACTAGTTATTGAAAAAAATGAGATAGTTCACAAAAAAGTACTGAGAAAAACATGAAACTACACAATGTTGGTTATTATGTTATTGATTAGAAAAGACAAGAAAATGTTGAAAATAATGAAAAACATACTAACTGGCTTTTAGTCAAAATTGTAGTATACCTAGTTAAATATTCCTCATTATCTTACCTTGCTTAACTCAGAAATGACTACGTGAAGGCAAACTGAATCAGTATAATTATTATACCTAAGAGATAGGGAAGCCATAATAAAATAAGATAAAAGTGAACAGTGAGGCTAGGAAAGTAGCCTTGGACATGGGCATCATGAAAACTGTTGTACTATCACATGTGGTCTTTCAGAGAGCTCTTCAAAACTAAGTCTTTTAAAAGCTCCCAACCCCAATTTACAATGTCTATACACACATAGTGACTTCTGACACTATTTAAATCCTTAGCCCAGAAAGGGAAAATAATATTCAAATCTTCATCATTCATCAATTTAAATACATTAACATTGGGTTTATTTTTTCATTGGTTTCATATTTTAAACAATATTTCATATATATTATGTCAGCCAAGATGCTAAAATAAGTATCACAAAATTTTAATATCAAGAAACTAAAATTCACCAAGGTTTATAATGTTAAGAAATGTATATACCTATGTATAGTAATATGTATGTTGTACATAAGCATGTTATCTCTATCACTCTGATTTAATATTAGAAAACCAAGAAAATCCCCTGGTATTTTTGGAATTATACCAATGAAGTACTTACTACATCAAAGACTAGGAAAAAAGATTAAGAAAATAAGCAGTAAAGGAAGTATTGAAAATTTCTTGACAAATACAGACCAATAACTACTTCTATTAAGAACATGAAATTAGTTTTTTATCCAAGTTAGAACAAGATGCAGAATTTAACAGAAAGCAATGGGATGAGTAACCTTTTGTTTTCTGTCCACAACACTGACTCAGGCAACCATGAACAATGCCCTATTACCCTTTTGCTAAACTTCTTTCTCACCCTGTCCCCATCCTCATTCCTGTGGAGCTTCTCAGCATCCAGCTATCACAGCTATCAGGATATTTAAATAAACAAGGTCCTGGGATGATGGTGTGATGACAGGCACCTAAAGAATGTAGCCCCATGCTCTCAAACACCATCACATTTTGCCTGGGCTTTCTTAGAGACTTGGGGTGTCACTACTCACAATTTAATGGCTATTTGTCTGTTCTAGATAATCAGTTAACCCCAAGCTTCAGCTTCCTTGTCTATAAAGTGAGGTAACTAGATTATTTGTAAAGTACTAAGACCTTGCCATTTTAGGAAATCTACATCCAACTTTCCAAGGTTCTGATAATTTTCTGAGGCATGTGATTTTTAAGTATCTTGTGACTTTTCAGCCTTTCTTGATGACTATAATGACTTAAAGAAAGTATACAGCCAAAAGAAAAGAGAGAAAAAAAAAAGAAAAACAGGGCCACATATTTTCAGCAATTCTTTAATCACTTTCAAGGCTTTCATACCATTAGATAAGGAATAAAGGAAACCTTTAATTGCATATGTCCACAAGTATGTGAAGTCAAATTGTTAAATTTTTACTTGATGATGGAAGATGAAAGAAAATCTAAGAATACATGGAATCTGCAAGGTCCTACCTACCTCCTGGCCGTTCATGCTCTCCATCAGTGTGCAAAAGCATGGCAATAGGCATGCCTACATTCTTGGATCTTCCAGCCACAACCACATTTTTCCCAAATGTTTCAATTCCTTAAAATACAGAGTTTGGTTTAAATGAAGAATCAACAACAAGAAACAAATTAAGCATCAGAACACTCAACTGAAACATTCTTTAAAAAGTTCTAATTAAATTTGGGTTTACGCAGCTTGTTTCTAACATGCCCACATTCAATTATTTATAAATATTTATTTTTATGCTTCTTGGATTTGTCACTTTCCCTTTGATTATGTCCTCATTTAAAAACCACAAACATCCTCAAGTTGCCATCAAATTAATTTTAAACATTGAGATTCACTCGAAGAGTTAGAAGTGCAAAGCCTTAAAATATATTAACTACTAATTACAAAATAAGCCAAGTACAACAATATCAAGCTTCACTGGCAATCAAATTTTGAGCAAAGCTGGAATAAAGTAAGTGAAAAAAAAGGATTTTGCACAGTGCTAATGTACTTCATTCCATACAAAAGAAGCACCAAACTTTCCATCTTAGAAAGATGAAAAAGATAAAGCCTGAAAATTCATATACTCTACCTCTTTGGAGCTCAGTTTCTTCATAAGTAAAATAAAGAAGTTGAAACTTAGGGTTTTCTAAGTATAATTATTTCAGAGTATGATTCCAGGATCTGCTTTCTCTTGGAGATTTTGTCTCAGAAAATAGCAGATTAGAATAGAGAAGATGTTGCCAGATAGGAGGTGATAGTGGTGGCAGCAGGAAAATCATCAACACACAAAGCAATTTGAGGTCAATTAACATAGAGGTAAATATCTCTACACTCCCAGGCAGTCTGTGAGAGCAAGACTGTATCTGGCATAGTAGAAGAACAAATGTTTACAGTGAAATCTTAGGTCAATAGACATGGCTTCTATAAGAACAACATGTTAGTTTATTAATGGAAAATATAACTCATTTTGAAAAAGTTTTCATCCAAATGCATGAAATTTATAGTTTAAAAGTAGGGAAACAAACTACAATTTGGAAAATTTACTCCCTACATGTTACAACTGCAGTGCCCATAACCTGGCACATGGCCTTCATTCCATTTTATTTTGGATTTGGTCTTTGACTTCTATAATTTTATACCTTTCTACAGACTGAAGTTTTGTGGCTTATTATTTCCGTCACTTTGCAAGGTTAAGGTAATTCTATCAAGGCAATCTGCAAATGCTCATTTCAGGTCCTAATACCTCTGTCCATCAGACCCCAAGTTACCAACCTGTTCTTTTAATTATTTCCCAAACAGCACCAGCAGTGGCAGGTATGAGAGAATGCTGATCAAGGCACAGTCTTCCAATATTGATAATATGAAATCCATCCACATCTTTTTCTGGGGAAATTCCATTGCATATTGTTCGCTCATCCACATGATCTGAAAAATAAATAAAATTGGTCTCATTTTAAAATTGCTGTTTATGTGGAAATATGGAATGTGAAATATAGGGACCAACAGTCACATCACTATGGTTCAGTTCCAGGAAAGATATAACACCCTTACTCTTTCCTTGCCACCAAAAAGCAAGCCAAGGGGGTCTTGACTAATAGCTGTTATTAATGACTCTTAGAGTATATGCTATTATAGGGTCAGAAGTGGCTGGATTGATGAGTCTTTGCCTCAAAAAGTTTGCATATTAAGAGTATTTAAACCCACTTTACTCTAATACAAAACATTTCTGTTAATAGGTTTCTATTCAATACTTTGAGCACTGCAGATTAAAGGGGCTTTATTATTGTGTTAAAAATAGCCATCACATGGTTAATTCAAGTTTCCTCTTAAGTTACATAAGGAAAAAGCAAATATCCAACACACACTTTCCATAAAGCATTAACACATTCAAATCTAAAATATCACTATGGTTTGCTATGCATAAGGAAAAGAACACAACCTGAATAATGAATTAATCAAGTGATATATGGCATACCAATCATCTCATTTAAAAAAGTATTGACATAAAATAGGTTCTTACTATTTTATGAAGAATCGTTTAGTTTACCTTTATCTCAATTATTAACTCATGTGCCTAACATATTTGGTATGTAAATACTTCTTTGTCCATTACAAAATGAATGCCATTTATACTGTGTGTGTGTGTGTGTATGTGTGTGTATGTGTGTGTGTGTGTGACTGTGCACGCACATGTGCTTTCTGGGGAATCAAATCCAGGACATCATATATACTAGGAAAAAGCTCTATCTATACATGTTTCTTCTTCTTTTTTCCCACCTATACATATATTTTTAAAAATCCTAAAAGCACAAAGTCCCAACTGTTTTTAAAGAATTATGTTTTGTTTCTGACATCTTTGTATTCTAAAGATGACAACTGCCACCTTACTTTACATATATCCAATTTACCATCATCAAGCTACGAAACTCCATTAAACATAAAAGTAGTCACTTTAATCACTTTCAAATAGAAACACTTTGGAATGTCTCTCTCATCAATAGTTTTTCATTTTTCATAACTTCACTCATTCTATAATGAGCAGGGTAAACCTCATCTATTTTCTCTAAAGCTAGAAGATCATTATAGATTCTAGCAAAACTTTAAATAATTACATGTTTAATTTACTATTTGAGGACAAAAATAATGGTTCCATTTTTCTAAAATCTGGAAGATGATGATGATTATGAAGATGGTGATGAGTCTTTTTTTAGTCATGCAGAAGTTTCATGATATGGATATTTTTGCAATAATTCAAAGGCTGTATAAATTAAAAGAAAAACAATTATATTTGAAGTTCTCATTTTCTAATAAGGGCCCAAGTTAGTTCATTAGTGAAAACTCTACTAATATATGTATGATATATGTATGAGCTGATCCATTTATTAAAAGAACTCAAAAAGGGCTCGTCTTTAGATTTTAAGAGCTATTTTACCAATAAGCCTGAGCTACATTGACTTTTAGCATCTACAGCTCTGTGCTGCCCATTCACTTAAAGAACACTGAAAAGACCTGCCCTCTGTGTCCTTCCTTCATTTCTTCCTCACTCCTGCCTCCTTCCCTTCCTTTCTTGGTTTTGTTTATTTGTTTGTTGTTTTGCATTTTTGTTGTTATTGTTGGGTTGTTTTTGTTTTTTGTTTTTTTTAGTCCTGGACATCCAGCTCAGGGTCTTGGGTATGCTAAGCACATGTTCTACCCGAGTTATACCCTACCCTTTGTGTACCTCTTGTACTTCGTTTTTAAAAATCTTTGGGCCACTGATAAAGAATGTGTTATTTAATAAACAGCATTAGGGAAATTCCCACGTGAACAAAAGGGATTTTTACTTTATACAACCCACAAAAGTAGGTTCTGAATGTATTACATTAAAAATTAATGTTTATGACTCAAATTTAACAAACTATCTTTATGAGAGCAAAGTCCTCTTATATACTTATTTAACTTCTACTCACATCATACCTTAGATCATTATTCCATAACAATTTTGTCTTGAGCTACTTAAGTGTTAGTAGTTTTAAAAGACAGATGTGTGGACATTCAAATGGTATGACACAGGATTCAATTAGCTAAGGTTATTTAGTCTAAAAGGAAGGATTTCATATGAATAGAGGAAAAAAGATTAAGATCAGAAAAATTAAGAAATCCAATTCATTTGTCATTTTTATGAAATTCTGTGTTATGTCAGCAGTAGATTAAATTTCACATACATCCTGTGCCAAGAAAGATTTACTTTTTCTAATGTAATGTGAAATATATAGTAATAATTTGAGTTAGCGTACCTTACATTTAAATAGTGATTTATAATGACTTTCCTAGTTACTGGGGACTAAGGTAGAAAATGTTAATTATTTTGAAGCCTAGGATCAAAGACTTTGAAATTCAGCCAATCTTAGATAATTTCTAAGAAAGGGATCTGGAATTCAAATTTATATCCTTTTGCTATAAAACCAGCTTTTCCTTCTGTATTATACAGAAGTCATAAAAATGCTAATAATGTTAAATACCATTCAAAGAGTAAAGTAAGAGAGGCCTCTCCCACCCCAACTCCTAGTAAGACATTTGATAACCCTAACATATCCCAAGAAATGTACTGTTTCATCTAAGACTTCAAACACAACACTATTACTGGATTAAATGTTATATGTCTAAGCACATGCAAAAAATATCAAATATTTTTCAATTAATAATCTTACCTTTTGATATTTCAGTAAGAGAAATAAATACGTTTCATAATTTTGAATGACTTACCTGAAGTCACCCTTAGGACATATGATTAGAAGATTCACTAATACCAGTTTTGTCACAGTATTTATAAAAACATTTTTGGTTCTCAGAAGCAATTTTATAACCTTACAGTGGTAAACAGGACACTCATGATCTCTACTACTCCAAACCCCAATCATCTATCTGATCTCATCACTAACTACTCTTTTCTCAATTAGCATCACACTAGTCTCCTTGTTCTTCCTCAAAAAAGTTAGGCATTTTCCCACCTTGGCTACAGCCTTCTGTCATGGAAGGTTTTTTTTTTTTTTTTTTCTAAAAACAAACAAACAAAAACAATCAAAAACTGTCTTGTCACCTTAGCTAAACTATTACCTTCATTCAAATGTTTCCTTACACGACTACATGACACATTTTCACTAATACACCCACTATTCAGATCACACCATTTTAAAATATATGATCTACTTCTAATAATAGTTAAGTAGCTTATATTAAATCAAACATCTCATAGAAAACAACTGCAATCTTTGGAAAAATCATTAAATAAAACCAACTGTCAAAAAAAATGGAGAGTCATTAAAAGCAGACAGATTTGGTGGAAGTGGATATCTGCAAGAAAGGAATATCACCGAAGAAACTTCCTATTTTGGAGGTTTTTATAGCTACAGGACAGCTGGAATTTGGGTAGAAATTCACAGCCTTACTTGATTAAGGAATCAAAGGATGAAGTTTGGGGCTACTACCACAGTGGAAAAGGAGAAGCCACACCCAGGAGACCCAAACATTGTATATAAAATCTCCACAGACACACAAAGAAAGCAAACTTCTAGAAGCCCCTTTAAGGTGAACAACACCAAATGAATGAAAGTTTTAGCTTGAAACACTAAAATAGAAACAAATTTTAAAGTCTTCAATTTGTTATAGACATGTTCAAAAAAACCCAGCAACTTAACATCATACTTAGTAGTAAAATACTGAAACTTTTCACTTAAAATCAGAAGAGTATCCAATCCCAACATTTTTATTTAATGTTTTATTGCAGATCTTACCTAGTGCTAACAAGATTAAAGAAAAAGACATAGAGTTCAGAAAGAAATAAGTAAAACTCTCATTACAGATAGCATAGATGTTTATGTTGAGTATCCCACAAATTTTATAAAATAATGACTAGAACTATTAAAGTCACTTTAACAAGATCACATTGTACAACCAATTATATTTCTGCCCATAAGCAGAAACTATTAGAAAATGAAATTTTAAAAAATGCTATTCACAGTACTATTCACAAATACTATTTACAATACTAATCATAATGCTTACAAATTTATTAATGCTTACAATTTATTAATTCCCTAGGAATAAATTTTTCAAATTTAAGGATGATTTCCATAACAAGAATTACAAAATACTGTTAACAGTTTTACCTTAATAAATTCAGGGTATATCATGTTTATGAAGAGAAGACTCAATAAAGTTGTATCAAGAGTCCTAAATGAATCTATGCTTTCACTACAATATTGATCATAATCCTATGAGGTTTGTTATTAGATTCTAAAATATATATGAAGATATAAAGAATTTAGAATATTTAAAACAATCTTGAAAATTACCAGAGTTAGAAAAATTACACCACTTTTATGCTAAAAAGCTATAATTAACAAGAAAATGTGGCACTGGCATAAGGATAGACAATTAGATCTATGGAACAGAACTGAGAGTCCAGTTTTGGAATTATACTCATAAAGTCATTTGATATTTTACAAAAGTACCATGGTGTGTTAGTCAGCTTTTCCTCACAGTGACAAAATACCTTCCAGTAGCACCATGGAATGTAAACCAAGCCTTTAATACATGGGACTTTGGAAGACATTAAAGATGCAAACTACAACACATGGCAATCAAATTCTTATTAACAAATAGTACTTGAATACCTGGGAAGCCATGTTGGTGGGAGGAACTAATCATAATACCTGCTTCATACTATACAGAAAAATTAACTGAAAATTGATTATAAACTTAAGCATAAAAGCTAAAAACTATACAGTTACTGAGTGAAACTTAGAAGAATATTTTTATGGGCTGGGTTAAAGCAAAAACTTTTTTTTAAGCAGGGAAGAAATTTTATTTATCAGTTTCCAAAGATAGAAAGGAAAATTCTGCATAAGACTAACATAAATTGTAAATGACATTTAAAAGATATC